AAAAAAAAAAAAAAAAAAAAAAAAAAAAAAAAAAAAAAAAACACCGGCCACGTAAAATGCTTTTTAAGTTTTAACAAAGGACCACCCACCCTTTAACATAAAAAAAGTTGAAAAAAATATTTGAGGCAATGGCATGGCATGGAACACGTTGGTTCGGAATCAAAAAATCACTTCATATGCACCAATACAACTCTGGGAGAAAATGCCAAACAGCCTCTACCTTTTCTTGCACCTCTGACTCTCTCACATATCACATCCATCAATCTACACCAGGAAAAGGAGGAGGAGGAGGAGGAGGAGGAGAAGGAGAAAGAGAAGGAGAAGGAGAAGGAGGAGGAGGAGGCGGCGGAGGAGGAGGAGCAGGAGGAGGAGGAGGAGAAGAAGAAGAGAAGAAAAGAAGAAGAAGAAGAAGAAGAAGAAGAAGAAGAAGAAGAAGAAAAAGAAGAAGAAGAAGAAGAAGTACAACAGAAGTTATCACATCCATCAATCTACACCAGGAGGAGGAGGAGGAGGAGGAGGAGGAGAAGGAGGAGGAGGAGCAGGAGGAGGAGAAGAAGAAGAAGAAGAAGAAGAAGAAGAAGAAGAAGAAGAAGAAGAAGAAGAAGAAGCACAACAGAAGTTAAAGACGTTCCTTTCCTCTCAAATGTGAACCAAGAACAGAAATTGGGGATGCAATACAGTGGGAGAAATCTGAGAGGGAAAACTCCGTGAAAGTATAGAGTACTATCATCGTAGAAAGGATCTAATCCAGCGAGAGTCCTACTTAAGTGACCCCTTGGTTGGAAATTAAATTTTTTGAAAAAACGAAAAGGAGACGGGGCCTGAAAGCTACATCCAATCCCGCAAGTGGGAGGAAGACGTGGGTGTTATATGTAATCCTCACTATCTAATTTGCACCTACTACAGAAAAGAAAAATTCTAATTTGGTTAACTGATTACATTGACATTCTACTTTCCTGACAGGAAGAACAATGACGACAAAGTGGAACTCCAATCACGTACGAAACGCGTACGTACCGTTACAGACGGATAAAGCCTCCAGCACACTTTCAAAGTTGGGGAATCTTATTGACGGCGAGGATCGACAGAAAAATCGGTGTGGAAAAAAAAAAAAAAACACATGAAAGGACCACTCACATCTGGTCGATCTCCTTAGTGAAGACGTTTGCAGCAAGACATCGAGGGATGGCCATCAAGGTCAAAAGGACTGAAAAGAGTCAAAACCATACTTGCCAGCAGACGGACCGGACGAGCGTCCGGTCCGGTCCGCTTTGCCGCTGTCTCTTATACACATCTAGATGTGTATAAGAGACAGTTCGTGCACCGTGCGGGTCCGGTCCGGCGGTCTGCCGCACGTGCGGAACCGCCTGTACGGCGTCCGCTTGCAAGTATGGTCAAAACTAGTTGTCGCCCATATCACCCCATCGAACGTTGTACTTGGCTGCTAAATAGTAGGCACCTATCGGCCCTCGACTTCCATACGGGTACAGCTCCGGTGAAACCCTTTTTTCTTCCAATGCCTTCAGCACGGGGGTGAAAATGCCCCACGCTGCTTCCAGCTCGTCGTTCCGAATGAACAACCGCTTGTCGCCGTCTATTGCATCCAGGATCAGTCTCTCGTACGAGTCCGGAATCTCTTTATTATACCTGCAGCAGTGTCACAGCAAAACAGCGGCACAAGTGTCAGTCACTCACTCACTCATTATTCTAGCCATCTGTCCCGTGCAACGTCTCGTGAAACGTCTCGTGCAACGCCACAGCCTTGTGTAAAGCCACCAACAAACCGGACAACCCCTGACCCCACACTGAGGTTGCACGCATTCGCTCACATCTACCCCAGCCCCGGAATAGAGTATCCCCCTCAGTCTCTGGCCGTACCCCCTCCAGGGCGTTCAGTGCCCACGGCCTCGTCTAAAGTCACAAACAAACCGAACCCGAACGGGGTTACCCATGCCACCACCTACCTTCTCCACCCAAATACAACGTACGGTCATTTTTTTGAAATGTTTTCTGTATTGAAAGATACCAACAACACCTATAGACCCCTGCAATGAATTACAGTTTCTGAAGCGGGCTATGCACGAAGTAGGTCGTAGGCTGTGTACTAGTTTAATGGCGGCCGATGCCATTTCCAGTCATGATCAAGCCTTGTTGATGCCTTGAAAGCTACAAAAAAGATGAACTGCCTCCTGCACCTCTGCTTTCAGAAGCAAAAGCCTGCCATGAGGCACAGGAGGCGATAAAAAGAGAGAGATTGGAGCCACAGAGTAACCTTCGTTGGGAGCCTCCCTCGCTCCACCATGTGACCCTCTACTGCATGTATTTGGATGTTTTCCGGACCCAATACATTCCAAATAATTGACTACTGTGTTCACCTCAATACAACATACAGTAAATCTTGCTGTATCTAGACTCAAAAGTTGCCCCCAAATACATCTATACTGACCGTATATGTTGTACTATACAGGTGAACACAGCAATATGAATGCACTTGGTCCAGAAAGCGTCCGAATTCATGTAGTAGAGTGTGGTGGTACTGTAGCGAGGCCCATTATAAACACGTAGAACCGTAGAACATTGTCAGAAAAATTGATGCAAATGACATACGCACGATAAGGAGGCATTCCTGCGGATATCCATAAAAAGTACGACAAATAAAGATAAATAAAAATCAGCTTTTTTTACCTTTTTTTAACTTTTTTCAACTTTTTTGTCCCTTTGCAAGGAAGAGGTACAGAATCGACACGACCGGACCAAACTAACAAAGGAAAAGATGGAAAAGAGGAGAGAGGAAAATGAGGCATATATAACGTAAGTTTAAATAACCACAACATCATCATTTTTTACACACAAGACGGAAAGTCGTGTCCCATTGCAAAATGGATTCCACTACTAGAGTGCTCACTGTACAGTGTACACGTAACAGTCGTTAATCGCCAAAAGGACGGGTCAGATTACACACGCAACAGCCATCAATCACTTTTTATTAGTTTTTTAAGTACTTTTGAAGAACCGGCATGTGTTTGGAGAACGAACGAAGATAGGGGTTCAGAGAGGGCATAGGGAGACAAAAAGACATTAGTAAATACCTTGGGAAGCTGGGAGGCCCCACTTCATCAGGTGGTTAATGGTTGATTAGCCCACCTTCGACAAACAACGCCTGCTCGCAGGGGATTCCGCTACTGACCCTGAAGATCAATGGCAAACAATGGCACTTCGTGTCCAGCATGTCTTGCTGCGTGCCTGGAGAGGCGTTTGCAACATTGATTTTGTTTGGTCTCGTCGCTTCGGTGAACCACTTGAGCCCCGATCCATTTTCGGCGCGATGAAGCTAGACCAGTGAGCTATTACGCTTTCTTCAAAGGTCCCCACCCATGGTCCTGCACGCTGAACTGATTTTCATATGTACGTTCACGCCCATCGAAATAGAATGGGCAGTACTTGATCCTTTAAATAAACTATATCGAGCAAATCGCCCCACCCAACATAAATCGACAACGACCTTTTCAGAAGGTGGGTAGGATCAGCCAAACTGGTAAAAAAAACTTACGGGCCTTCATGGCACAATGGCGAAAGAGAGAAGCAAACGACAGCAGGCCGGTTGGATATAATATATTATACTATACTTTTATTTTATATAATATAATAATAATTGCATTCCTCACTCACCTCTCAGAATACAGAAGGTTCAGGTTGCTTTTGTCCAAGCGCAGTCCCAGTCCGGGCACTTTGTTATTTATCTTCAGATAAATAGCTTCATCAGGCTGTACGCGAATGACGAGCTCATTGGTTGCTAGATCCAGATCTGTTGCAAACAGCTTCTTGTACAAATTGCCTGGGACATGCCGGAATTGAATGCGAATCTCCGCTCTGCGAGGCCATGGACGAAGAAGGCGGGGGGGGGGGGGGGGGGGGAGGAGAGGAGCACAGCAGGACGGAAAGACCACATGCAAAATAACAAAGGAAAGGCAACAAAAAGGTATATTAATCAGATACGTTAATTTCAAGTAAGTGTGCGAGAAACGAAAACAGCCATCCCTCTCATACGATTCATTTTTATCTCGTAAAAGAAACCACCATATGAAGCATGGCTGTGCCGGCAACCGGCCGGTTGCACCCCCGGTGGTCCAACCGGAATTCCGGTTGGGTCCAAAACTGGGTCAAAAAAAAAAAAAAAAAAAAAATTCAAAAAAAGGTTGAACAAAACCAACCGAAATTTCTCGGGTGCGGGGGGGGGGGGGTGGGGGGGGGGGGGGGGGTGGGGGGGGGGGGGGGGGGGGGGGGGGGGGGGGGGGGGTGGTATTTCAGGGGTTGGGGGGGTTATGGTGAAGGTGTTAGTGGTGGGGTTTCAGCACGGGCTTCAGCAGACATTGACAACAACGTACCTGGCTTTCTGCAAACGTTGACGTTCTGCCCAAGAACTTTGAAGAGGGGGGTGGGGGTGTTAGTGGCAGGGTAGGGACGGTACTTCCCACCCAAAAACTTTGAAAAGAGGGGTAGGGGTTGTAGTGTTAGGGGGTGCTTCGTCCAAGTTGCCCTTGATACTGGTAGGGTGATGGTCCTGAGTGGCAGGGTAGGGACGGTGCTTCGTCCAAGTTGCCCTTGTTCCCTTAGTGTTAGGGGGTGCTTCGTCCAAGTTGCCTTTGTTCCCTTAGTGTTAGGGGGTGCTTCGTCCAAGTTGCCCTTGTTCCCTTAGTGGCAGGGTAGGGACGGTGCTTCCCACCCAAAAACTTTGAAAAGAAGGGTGGGGGTTATAGTGTTAGGGGGTGCTTGTCACTGCTGTCTGGTGACTACCCTCGATACTGGTAGGGCGATGGTCCTGACACTGAGGTAGGATAGTAGGGATAGGGGGTGCGCTGGGAGCATTAATGTGGGGAAGGGTAGGGAAGCTGGCCTATCCTGTCAGGACAACCACCGGCTGCCGCTGCCAGCAATCACTGTGGGTCTAATCCTTGGCCTCAACAACACCATGGGCTCAAAAAACGAAAAAAAAACAAAAACAAAAAAAAAAGATGCGCCACAGCCAACTGGGGGGGAACCGGCCCGGTCGACCGGCCGGTAGGACCGGTCCGGTTCCGGTTGGGGGAGGACCCCCCGGTCCTACCGGGTTTTCAGCACTGATATGAAGTACACATGTGAGGATTAAAATGAACAAAAAAACACGCATACGTATACTGAAATAGACATTTAATAATGTCATCGAAGTCGTTTACCATTCATTTATATTGTACGCATTCCTCTTTCTGCATGTATTTTAATATTTGTCGTTCGTGAACTTCCCTTGTGCGATTCTATCCTGCCACTCACTCCACTCACCAGGGCCGGCTATTCGCATCTGATCTACCGCCAGAGTCACCTCGTCTAGGACGCCGGATCGACGCTTCGCTCACTCCCTAAACTCGCCTAACCGCATCCCGTTCGTAACTTACAAACACATGTTCTATTGGCAGGTCCAGGCGGACGCTAGGAAGCTCTTTGCTCCCCAAACTCGCCAGGTCACTTGTAATTAACTACACGTATCGCTTTCTGTGTGTGTTGTAAACTTGTAATATTGTACTTGTCGCAGTCATTCATACACTGTCTATATGACTCTCTAATGAGTCTATAATACTCTATATACTTCACAGGACGGGGAGCGGTGCAGCTCACTGGCATTTTAAGTAGAGGGAGTACAGGTGATTATGCAACCAATAAATGAGCAGTACTGGCGCCTAGGAGTGAGAGAAGAAAACAAGGGAACAGAGGAGTTTGTAGGGTGTTGCGACGCTCATTGTAAGTGACCAGACATGAGGTGATATGTGTTAATAAGGGGCAATGCGAAAAGAGCAGAGGAAAGAAAAGCAAGGTGTATGAAGTACTATGAACGACCGGTCGTGCAGTGAACCGATACTGACACTGGAATCCAGTTTCAGTATCGGTTGACTGCACAGACACAATGTGATACTGGAGAGAGAGAGAGAGAGAGAGAGAGAGAGAGAGAGAGAGAGAGAGAGAGAGAGAGAGAGAGAGAGAGAGAGAGAGAATCTCCTCTGTCCCTCCTTCCCTTCCCTCCGAGAGAGAGACCGTATCTACTTTGTCCATCCATCTGAGAGTCTTTCCTCTGAGAGAGAGAGAGAGAGTGTATCTCCTCTGTCGCTCCTTCCCTTCCCTCCGAGAGAGAGACCGTATCTACTTTGTCCATCCATCACAGAGTCTTTCCTCTGAGAGAGAGAGAGTGTATGTCCATCCATNCTCCTTCCCTTCCCTCCGAGAGAGAGACCGTATCTACTTTGTCCATCCATCACAGAGTCTTTCCTCTGAGAGAGAGAGAGTGTATGTCCATCCATCACAGAGTCTTTCCTCTGAGAGAGAGAGAGTGTATCTCCTCTGTCCCTCCTTCCCTTCCCTCCGAGAGAGAGACCGTATCTACTTTGTCCATCCATCTCTTCCCTCATCTCTCTCTCTCTCTCTCTCTCTCTCTCTCTCTCTCTCTCTCTCTCTCTCTCTCTGTGGTGTCCCAGCATCCAAAAAATACACGGTTAAGGGTAAGCTTGCAGCTTAGTGGTTAGCATTCCACGTTGTGGCCAAGGAGAACTGGTATCTTCTGTGGCTCTGAGGCCTGACATAGTTTGGGAACATGCTGATGGTGATGAACCTGTCAAAGGCGCCACTTAAATCTCCACCAAATATACACTGGGGGACGTGGCTACAGGAGCTTTGGAACGTGGCTACACGGGCGCCAAATCTCTGTTGCCTGTGGCACATCCTGCATGGTCTTTCTTCCGAGTCCACTGGAAGTGCCACCTCCACCCTCCTCTACTTCCCTCTCCTCTGCCACCTCCTGCCATTGACCCTGAGCAAGCTGTGCAGCTGCTCGAAATGGGACAGACCCAGCCATCCAGTGGAAACGAGACGCTCACACCTTCTCCCTCGTTCTCCCCTTGCCCCCTCCTGATCACGGTATTAACCTAGTCCACGTTCGGATATGCACGCTTGTGTGTTCGTGTGCGTGTGGATGTTTGCCTGTGGGGATGCCTTTTGTGCATGCATAGATGTCGTGCATGGAAGTCGTGCTGGCCTCTCCACGACAAAGGAAAACGAAACGAATTTCAGAAAAACTCTGAAAGAGAGGATATGTAAAATCAAATCGTAACGCCCAGAGAACGAAACATTGACAGCCAGGGATATGCAGTACCAGCCTAGGAAGATTTCATGACCGGCTGGTCCGGACCGGCCGGTCACCCGGCATGATGCGTGGGGGGGTCTGACGCCCGATACCTGGGCATGGGAAAAAAAAATAGAAAAAAAAAAAATGGCAGTGGGGCTTTTCCGCGCTCTCGGAGAGGAGCCCAAAGCCGGGCTCTTTTATTTTTTCGAGTGTTGGCTTTGAACGGGGGGGGCAAGGGGGGTATAAATTATTTTTGAAGGGGCTAAAGGGGGTTAAAGGGGGGTGCCTTGGTGTGATTCGGTTATTTTCTTTTCTATCTTCAGTTCC